GACTGCCCCCCCCCCCCCCCCCCGGCTCTAATTTTACTGTTGAGATTCGTTCTAATTTCTGTGTGTACGCACTAGGAGGAAGGATGCTATATTTCCACTAGTATTCAGTGATTTTAGACCCAATGAAGCATAGTATTCTTAAAAGCTTTTGACTATTGGTTGGATATGTGCAATGAGAAGCTTCGTGATTTGTGATCATTACTTGATGTTTGTGAGGTTCAATAATAGATGAGTTGCTTTTAGAAGCTTGCTTCAGGGACAATGTTTGTCATCTCACTGGTACTAATATCAATGCTGCTCAATTTGACAAGTGATATGGTAATCCAATGCTATTTCCAATCAGTGGGAACTTTTCAGTAGATGGCTCATCAAATGGGCTTAAATTGTTAAATTAATTTGTTATACAGTGTACTGAGCGATGAGCATGCAAATGTGGTGTTATACCTCAAAAGTGTCAGATTGAATGGTCAAGGCAATTTGTGTTAGCATATGGTTTCTGTATTACTACAAGGACTTGGGTACCTGCTACGTTCCTGTGGCTGTAGTAAGAGATGATGGTCCCCCTTCCAGATAAATCACTATATTTTCTCTGTTTCTTTCAAATTTTTTGTGGAAGTTAGGTTCTGAACTCAGGGGCGGATGCAGTAAGGGTGAAGCGGTGTCATGTGACACCGCTTCGTCGTAAACTTTTGTTAAATGTATGTATCAAGAATCTGCAAAATACCATATAATATAACAAAATGATTAAGTGTGACACCACTTGTTATCAAACTCTTCTTGGACAGTTGGTATAGCGCCTGATTTCTCTAGGCAAGGTCGTGTGATCGAACCCACTTTATGGTGTTTTATCCTTCTAAGGATTTTGGCTAAAAAAAGGAGATGGATTTGTTCCGCTACTCTGAAAAGAAAGAGTGTTTCATTCAACGGCTTTGCACAATCCGGCTTCGTTGTCTTTTTTCTTTGTTTTGGTCAATTAAGTTATTTTGTTACCTTTTTACTCTTTAATTCTTATAGGAGTACTTTTTTGTTAGAATTTCTTAAAATAGTTCTATTTTATGAGTGCACTCTATACAATTATTTGGGGTTTCTCAAATAGATATTTTAATTCATGATTTAACTTAAATTTCAATAGATTATCCTAAAAAATCTTTCAATCTTTCAAAATCAATTCAGAATCTCAAAACTCATCTAACTTGGAAGAAATGGTCAATGGTCGGAGCAACATCGACAAAGTGAATGAGTTAATTTCAATTCCTTAAAGATTGACAACTCGAAAATGTTATTCGAATTACCATGATACAATAAGAAGAGCATATCTTTAAAAGAGGTCTTTTCCAACCTCGAAATAATAATTTTTCTCAAAAAAAATTTATGATAAATTTGTCGGGTTGATCTTCAATAGTTTGTTAAGTATAATGGTTTGGAGTATAGTGTAACCAAATATGTGATTTTTGCTTCAATAATTACTTGATTAAAGAGGAATGCATTAATCAAGAGGAAAGAAATGTAATTTCAAGTATAAGATATACACCTGAGCGGATGCACTAAGGTTGAAGCGCTGTCAAAAAGGTTATTTTTTTTTTATTTTTTTAAATGTGACACCGCTTACAAAAAATCATGCGTACGCCACTGTCTGAACTGATTGATTTTCTCTAGCTGGTGATCTTGCCAATTGAGAACTAAAGTATAGGTGGAAAGGTTGATCTCCAATATGTTGCTCTTTTTGTCTTTTTTTTCTTTTAATTGATAAGGTAAAGGTTTATTAGAAAACAGTACCAAGATTGTACTGCAGCAAACTTTCTGGTATCATCGACCAAGATCATCTTTGCAATTAGTTTTGTAACTGCACGAATTGGAACTGGAGCAACAATTGCCCGAGGATGTTCTTATATAAGATTAGATCCCCCAAGTATGCAAGGGACTACGTTTTCAGTATCAACGCTAAGTAAAATCTACTCCAAAGTTGAATGACCAGCAGAGACCATACAGTAGGTAGCACACAATGATTGGCCTACAAAATCCTCATTACAACATAAAAGTAGCCTTTATGCTACTATTCATATGCCTTTGTTGGTGCATACGCATGTAAAATTCCAAAAATAGAAGTACTAAAAGAACATGCATATTGCATACATTGTGTTTACTGGGTTGAACTGATGCCTTTAGCAGTCCCTCCCTCTCCTTGCTTTCTTGGTTCATGTTCCTTTTGCCTTCTCCGTTTGCCTTTCCTGGTACTGTTTTTATTTTTCATGTACTATGTTTTTTGTTGGTATTCTGATTAACATTTTTCGTGTTCCTTCGATGTAATAGCTTTCAGTGAGGAACTGCTTCATCAGAGGATCGGTGGTGAGATATGTCCAGTTACCTCCCGAGGGAGTTGACATTGAGCTGCTTCATGATGCTACAAGGAGAGAAGCTCGAGGTGGCTGAAATCTGAACTTCGAAAATAGATGTATTTTTAAAAGATTTTGAGTGGGTAAATCAGCATATACTGATTTCTTTTCTCAATGTTCAATGTATTTCTAGATGCTATTATTGCCATTGTAAGCACTGCTTTTATTCTTCCTTTTCCTCCCCTTTTTCCGTCACTAGCATTTTTTATTTTTATTTTTTAACCGTGGTTTCCGGGCATCGCTTTGCGAATCCGACTAGCTGTACCCACCGGGACCCGCTGTTTCATGCGTGCACCATGGTTAATTCCACGGGCTCTGGAGACGCGGCCGGTTTGTAATGCCTCTCCACCGTCACTAGCATTAAGCGACTATTATGATTGCTGCAAATTGTGTGGTGAAAGCCGTGGATATGAAATTCTGCCAAGAAAAATAATTGGTACAGGTTTATGCATTCTGGCTAAGACAGACAAAAGATGTCTGCCACTAGTAATCTACTACCCACCCCCCCCCCCCCACCCTATGAGGCGCTATCCCAAAAATATGTTGCGCTGAAAAAGAAATATGTTGCAGCTGAAAGAGTAAGCTGCTGAGACTTGAGCATATAAAACTTTGGCAGAATGCACTTCACTTTGCAAATATTGTAATATTATTTATAACCAAACGTAACACTTTTTGTTATAGATAATATTACAATATTTGCAAAGTGAAGTTCAGTATTTGCAATACTAGTTTGGCTGTTGGCATTTGCAAATATTGAACCTCAGTACTTGAAATGCTAGCTAAATATTGAATAACTTGTTTGTAGAGTAATTTAGGTGAAATTTTCACTCTTTTTTAGGTGAAGTTTATGTCTAAACACAAACTCTCAATAAATTCTTTTCAACTTTCTTCAAATATTATGTATTGTGAGGAGATAAATTCAATTTACAAAAACAATTGGGGACAAATAAGTTAAAAGGGATTTACTGGAATAATTGCTTTGCTGCGCGAGTTACGGCAATATTTGTTTCAACAAGAAAACTTAAATTAAAAAGGAAAGAAGATAAAAATGGTAAAAAATATAACAAGATCTTCTCACTCTACCATATATAGCTATCGCTTGCCATAATTCAGGCAGTCACATAGGATATTTAAAAAATCACTGCATTACAAGTCGGTGTTTTCCCGTTGCTAGTCCTTCGTTTCCTTTTCGTAGTAAGTTTTTAATTAGGCCCTGATTAAACAATTCCAGAGACCATGCAATTAACTAAAATAAGCTCCTTATATTAGTCGCCAAGTATGGAAATAAAATGATTATTTATTATTCGGATTCTGTATTCTGGGTAATAAAGATTGCCTAGGAGCGCAAGCTACAACCATTTAGACTTGAATTTTAGTTATATGCATTAATATGTCAAAATAATATTCACACAATCAAATTACTTACTTACTATAAGATAATTACTGAAAATTTTCTATAATAGTAACTAACCTTTTATTACACAGACCAAACTATATATATTGATTGGTTTAAAAAAATTTTACACTACGCGATTAGATCTAACAGAGTTTAAAGCCTTGTCTCGCCTTCTGTATCAAGTTTTGTGGAGTTCAAAGTCGTGTCTCATCTTTCGGCATTTCCTAACAATCACCACTCTAATCTCTTGGTATTTCATTTTAACGTACTGTCTCTTAGATTCTGTATTTTTTGTAGTTATGGAGTGAATACATTCATGTAAATTAGTGAAAAATTAATTCTGTCGAAATAAGATGTATTGCTATCTTCTTTTTATCAAAATACAAAAAACAGGAATTAGTTACGAAGTTTGATCCCTTATCGTCGTCCTAAATAGTCCATACTTGAAAGGCATTTTGATAATCTTTAGCGACAGACTTTTTGTTGTATCCGTAGAATTTGTTCGTTGCTAATTCTTTTTTTTTTTTTTTTTTTAAATTCAAGCATTAGATATTCCGTTGGTTTCTGTGTTCTGAAATTTGAATAGAAAATGAGGTGATCCTTGATATATTGTAAAAAAGATGTTTTTAGTTATCATACTTCTTCCAATTCAGTTTATAAAAGAATTAGGGTTTTGATTTGGCTTCTACTAATTTGCCTGTCCTCGAACTAAAACTTATCGATTTGCATGCATAAGATTTAGAACTTTTTATATTATCTTCTTTAAGTTAATTTTTCCCTCTCAAATTGCAACTCTTTCAATTCCTTTTTTTGGATTCCCACATGGTGCTCTTCGGGCCTTGACTAATCCGACTAAAGGAATAAGTTTCATTGTCGGAGCTCGAACTCGAGAGACTTTTGATTAAGGATGAAAGGATCCTATCCATCCCCCACAACGCTTGCTCGTAACTCTTTCAATTATAGCTAGCTACATATTTCCAACTGATTTCCTTGTTTTATGTAAATTCTTAGATGCAGTTTTTAATATGTTTAGTTGGTATTTTCTTAGTGTGATTATCTTCTTGTGTAGGTGAAAAGCTGGAGAAATCACTTATTCTCTCACTTCTGTATCAAGTCCTTTTGATGGAACATAGTCCCGATGATCCTGTATCCACTTATTCTTTCTCAAGTTTTTAACATTTTAATATTTGTTTTGATCTTGCAATTGCATAGTAGTAATAATATTTAACATATAATGTCTTTTAATTTCTTGAATTGCTCGTTAAACATTTCAGGTCTGTGTCATAAAAGTTGATTGCAACTGTTGTCCAAAATGTCCTGGAGACTTGAGGAAAATACTGTTAGAAATCAATGGTATGATATACATTCTTATTCTTTAAGAAAACATGTTTATTTCTTTTATTTCACATCCCACTCACATGAAAATTCCTATAAGTATTCAATAATGTGCAAGTCACAATTAAATGCCTGTTTAGCTCGAACATTTTTCTCCCTTTTGCTCTATATTGGTGTTCAACTTATCTTAAGTGACCAAAAAAAAAAAAGAAAAAAGGGGGAGTTGAGATAGTTAAACATACAAAGTATGAAGTATTTATGTCTCAGTACTACTCTTTTTTGGCTTTAGATTAAAAAAAAGTTTATGATTTTTTACACTATCAAGTCACATAAAAAATAAATACGTATAAATATCCTTAACAAGTGAAATCAGAAAACTAGAAATAAGATATGTAACTTGCTATAATATATTAAAATGCAGATAGTGCAAAGATTCTTATATTGTAAGTCTATATAAGTTAAATCTAATTAAAAAAAGATTAGATGCAACAAAAGCTCACGTAAAGCAGTACTATAATAACTATGCCTCAATCCCAAACAAGTTAGAGTCGGCTATATAAATTTTCTGATCTTTCTTTAAGCCCAACTCAATTATGTATTTCATTGATCTTTATCTTAACTATTGTAATTTAATTTGTGGTAGGTGTTCTTGATGTTTCTTATGATCCAAAAACAAAGTTGGCAACTATTAGAGGCAAATTTGATCCATTCATGCTCACTAAGACCATTAAGAAAAGTGGCAAAACTGCAGAGCTAATATCATATGACAAGAATCCTCTTCACGAAGCACAAAGCAGTACGAGTAGAAACTCCAATAATTACCACCACCCTTCTGGAAATACCCACATTAAAGGAGAGGCCAAGGGCAAAGCTAAAGTTGGAGAGAAGAATAGAACTGAACGTCGTCGGGGTAGCAAGGACGACGATGATGATAGTGACGATGACAGTCACCGGTGTGAAGATTTTGTGTCAACCAAAGATAAAAAGTATCACAAAGCTGAAGCTTATGAGCCCCCTAAAGGCATTGATGAAGCCATTTGCAGGTACGAACGATAAATGGACGAGTTAGATCAAATTTGAGCGAATCAAAATGGGTCATGATTCAACCTCCTAAAGTTTGACTGAGTCAAATTAGGTTGGGTGGGTTGGATCACAACCCAACCCACTCAACATGACCTAACGTTTCCTTTTTAACTTTTGCATTTTGAAAAGAAGTAATGAAAAAACGGAAAAGGGTCAAATATGTCCTTATACTATTGAAAAAGGTTTAATATTATCCTCCGTTATACTATCAGTCCAATATATCCCTAACGTCATACTATGGGTCCAAATATATCCCCGACATCATGAAAGTGGTACAAACCTACCCTTCCTCCGTTAACTGCCTCCCCTATGAACACATTTTATTGCTACATTTCACCCTGTTTGCAGCTACCAAGTTCAATTACTTTGAAGTTCTATCATTATTTTGAAGACTTCACTGCCTCTACTTCCTGCTTTTCAAAATACCTGTTGCTTCTCCGGCCGATCCTGAAATTGTACGTACCTTTCACTTGACCTTAAAATTTTGTGTTTTATTTTGCATTTCCTTGTGTTGTCGCTTAATTTGTAAGACATATTTAGGGAAAATTTAGTAGCACTTTATTTAACATAAAACGTAAAGAGAGAACAATGGTAGCCTTCCAGAAATGTGGTTAAAGAGAAAGAAACAAAAAAAATTAACTCTCGTGTCTAGGTTGTTTTTCTTTCTCACCACGATCAATTTTGAAACCTTAAACTAGTTTGCCTGTATCTTTACTTAGTTTTTTTATATAAAACAAAATGTATTTTCGTTCGTATAAGCATGAATTTTGAATAGCAAAATCAGAATTTTCTCGGTTCACATGTTTCATATTATCTTTAGTTGTTAGCATTTCTTTTGATATAGTTTGTTTGTATATCTATGATTTGTGATTTTTCTTCAAATGAACGGGAAAGAAAGATTATGGGAAAGGGATGAAAATGGGAGTATAATGGTGAGGTGGCAATGAAATGTTATCATAGGGAGGCAGTTAACGGAGGAAGGGTAGGTTTGTACCACTTTTATGATGTGAGGGATATATTTGAACCGATAGTATGACGTTAGGGATATATTTGGACTGATAGTATAACAAAGGACAATATTAGACCTTTTTCAATAGTATAGGGGTATATTTGACCCTTTTCCGATGAATAAATATATTAGTAAGTGTGCATTTGGACATAAGAATTGTAAAATTCCAAAAAAAAAGTGAAATTCTTTTTCAAGTGAAAATGATAGTTGAAAATTAGAGTTGTGTTAGAACATAAATATAATTTTGAGTTGTTTTTGAATTTTTGTGAGTGATCTGAGTGAATTTTGAAAAATAACTTTTTGGACTTTTTCAAATTTTCGAATTGAAAATTCTAAGTTTTGGTTCGGTTGCATG